ATTGATAGGGTATTAGTTGGATGTGTAGTGAAGGCTTGGTTGATGTTGATGTAGATATTGACAGGTGTGTAGTTGTCAAAGATCTGCCATTCTGGGTTTGGTAGATCAGGAAGTTGGAGTAAGTAATCAGGAATAGTGTTGAAGATGAAGTGGGTTTTGAGTTTAGTAACAATATCTGGAGCTGCCTTTCGATCCGTGATGGGTAGAAGTTGTATTAATGTCAGATTAATATAGTCAAGTTGACTGATTAGTTTGTTAAGATTGGTCGGTAAGTGAGGGCGGTCATCAGAGGATTGTTTTTCTGGAATGTTAATCCAGTGAGCTGGGATTTTGGAGAAGAAGTAGTGATTACATAGTTCATGGGATATATCTATGAGTTGCTTTGGTGAAGTAATAGGAATAGTAATATTCATCTGCGGAATGTTGAGAGGATCATGAGGAAGTTCTGGCTTATTTGTAGGATTAACCGTCATGTATGTTGGTGGAAGAGGGAGGGTGAATTTGTAGCGATCATTGATTTCAGTTAAGAAATTTTTTGCAATTTCTTTGTCATTAATAAGGTAAGTGTAACTGATCTTGGTTTGAATAGTGGCAGAATCATTAGGTAGATATAGTTTGTGGGCAATATAGTCATTTGGTAGTCGTTTAAATCAAAAATGGGGATATAGGAGGTTAGCAAAGTGTTTAATGTCAAGCTTGTCATTAGGACTACATGGGAAGAGGTGCTTTAGACCATGTGGGAGTTGTTGAGGTGATACTGGAAGTGGTGGTTTAGGTTCAGATAAGTCAAAATAATTTGGTGAAATTTTCTCTGCCATAATGTAGATTCTCGAGAGTTTTTCCTGATATTGAGATAAATAAGGCAAAGCTAAACGGTTAGTTATAGGAAAAAGATTTCTAATAGCAGGGTGTAGTTCAGATGGATTCTCTAGTAGTTTGATTAATTGCTTCTCAAAATAGCTCTCCGGTAGCTCAGAGAAGTTAAATAACTTTCGGAGAGCAGCTACAACACCATGTGTTTGCTTCTGGTCTTTGATAGGTAAGGAGAAAGGTAGAATCGATTGGATCTCTGAGGAGATTTTGGAGGGAAGATTAGGGAGAGGGGTGAGTGTTTTTGATAGTGCTAAGTGAACTATTCGTTGGGTATCCTTGAATGCAGTGGGTAATTTGATTTGGGCAAAATTGGCACAGTAATGCATTTTGCGGATTATAACATGAGGATTGGTTTTGATGAAATCTGTATTAGTAAGGTAGTTGATTGCTAGCTTTGTTTGTAATTTGTCTTGTATTTGATTGTGGTTATGTTTGTTAATAAAGCGGGTATTATGTTGGCATTTGTATCTCTCGAGAGCCATGTTAAACAGTGATTCATATTCGTTTTGGTGTGCTGGTATGGCTGCTTTATCACGGGTGAAGGATTTAAAAAATGCAGTATCAAAGTAGTTGAATTTTGTATTAATTGCAGTGAGTAAATTGTAATAAGTTGGTTGTGTTTTAAATTTATGTATAAGGAATTAGGTCATTTTTGATTCATCTTGTAGTGCTTGTGCTATTGTATTTATGTCCCAAGCTTGGGAATCGAATGCTTGCTGTCTTTGGGCCAAGGTGTGTATTACAGAATGGAACTAAAGTAAAGATGAATCGGCCATCGAGCTAGGTTGGTGGGCGGTCAGGGTGAGTCGGAATGCATGACTATAGGTTCAGACACTAGGGTTGGATTTGGTAGTGGGGCTACTAGAGTTGTTGGAGTCCAGGTTCGGGGTAATCTGCTTTTTGGGGTTCTGTGAGTCAGGACCTTTGTTGTTTTCATAATTCATGGGCACTGAATTGATATATTCGGCTGAGGTGGCTTGATCTATATTGCTATTTCCAGTTACGGATGTGTTTTGAATTGAGTGTGGGAATATTTCCATAGGGGTTACAGGTCTCAGATTGGTTTCTATTAAATTTGGGTTTGTTGTTGTATTGTTTTGGATATATGATATCATGTGACCTTGGGCTGGTTCTAGCCGATCTGCAGATGGGGTAAGCTAGTTTGCCCACTTTTTTCTCTAGGGTAGGGGTTGTGGCGAGTGGTAGCATGGCAAGACTTGAGGCTATTGTTGTTTTTTTTAGCAGTGGCAGGTGTTAAGTAGTTGGTTGCAGGTGTGGTTAAGGAAGGGTTTTCAGGGTCTACTAATAGTTTGTCAGTTGAAGTAGAGCCAAAAATTAATTCAGATACAGATTGAAAAATAGATTTGCATTGGGCCATAGTGGTAACTGACTCCTGTAGGAGTAGTTTGAAGCTGACTGGGGACTCGTAGATGATACGATTACTGTCTTGCTTGTCTATTCTGTTAGGTTAGGAACTAACTCAAAGTGCAGAAGTGTAGAGACCTTCAAGTTCAAACAATTCTTTCTTATAGTTAGAGTATAATTTCTACTTGGATATTTGTTTTGTTTACAATTACTATGATTTGCAGATTTACGGAAAAAAGTTTGAGAGCACATTGTTATTCTTGTTATTTTAATATTTATCAATAAAACTAATTTTTGCATGTAGAGTACATATAGTGATGTACGGTAAAATTACAGTAATTTTACGTAATTTTGTGTAAGATTCAGTAAATTGAAATTTCATGAAATTGTAATTTACTTTTCCAGGATTAGTTGATCATAAGTTAGATCTGTAGTTTTGTATTGTGGTCTATTGTTGTCTACTGTAATTTTTGCTTAATTGTGCTATTAAATCAATAACAATGCATAAAAAATAAGTCATATATTTGTTAGTTTAATAAAGATAGTATATAAATAGAATAAAGGGATTATTAAAGATAATGTATTTTATTTCCAATTACGATCATTGTAATAAAGAAATTTCATCCTAATCATTGAGTGATTGTGTGCCATAGGTAAAAGTGTGGTTTGAAATGAAAGGTGTTGAATAAAGTAGAGACAAACCAACAAAGTTAAAATAAAGAATAATTTATCCAACATAGTGCGGTGATAGCTAAGCAATTGGTGTAAATTATTGGTGTCAAATTAAAAGGAGAGATGAACCAAACAAAGCCAAAAGGACAACTTACTCAAACGCAGTGCAGTGATCGTCAAGCAAGAGAAAGGGCTTTGTTAGCATTAAATAAAGATAGAGACGAACCAAACAAAATCAAAAGTAAAGAGTAACTTGCCTAACATAGTGTGGTGATTATCAAGTAGTCAAACATATAATTGTATCCATTCTCTAACTCACAAAACATCAACATATATAAAGGATAAAGAGAAGATTGTCATCAGTATTAAAGGTTGAAAAAATATAGAATTAAAAAAATAAAAAATTATACCTGATGCTATATTTGTTATAATTATAATTAGTTAAAAATGGTTTGAACTAAAAATGATAATATGTAGGATCGATACAAAATGGGAATTGATAAAAATGAGAAGGGGCGTTACAAGTGCAAAGGGTGTGGTAAAGAGTGGGCAAAAAATACAACTCGATTACAGGAACATTTGGATACATGTACTTTGCAACACTTGGATGAAACTTCTAATCCTAATAAAAAGCGTAAAAAAGAGAAACAATCTAAAACTTTATTGACCAATGCTATAACAAATTCTAAGAGAATACAACTAAGATAATCGACAGCATCTTACACAGAAACTGTACACCTCAACTTAATTCTCCTTCGTAATGACCTACTCGATCCACCAAGCAACAT